ACCACTTTTATTAATAATCGTGTCACCTTCTCTTGTCCCAAACTTAGGGGAACGGAGGTAGTATTTGTCCAATTTATAATTTTTCCTATTTTTTCTACTCAAGTTTATTTGGGGTTTCTTAGTGCAATAGGTTTGTTTTCGGCAGGGCCGGCCCTGGTATAGGGCAGCCTGGGCCGCTGCCCAGGGCCCACCAGGACAAGAGGGCCCATAAATTTTATAGTAGTATATAATATATATATATATATATAGCTCTTCTCATCAGGCCGGCCTGACGGGCTGCCCCGTCCGGCCGAGCCCGTTTGGGCACCTTCCTGGTGGAATGTTTTGATGAAATTTTTTGAGCATGTTCCTCATCAAGTCTAGTTTGTCCATACCAAATTTCAGCTCAAAATTCGATCGGGAAGGTCGTCAAAAAAAATTTGCAAGTTAACTGGTCCGGAATATGTATTTTCCGGCCTGACTGAGATATATACGGAGTGGTTCTAATGAGAACACTCCTTATTGTGAGAACGTGAGAACAAATCTTAGCCATACATCATAGTAAATTAAAGGTCATAAAAGGATGAGATGCATGGATTTATCATGGGAGTGCAAACATGAAATAAATACTCTTGCACTATCTAATCCATACGTAGGCTAATGAAGGACACTAAAGTAATTTTAAGCAATCGTTTAATGTGGCATCGGTTGGAACTTTATCACTTACCAAAAAATTAGGAAAAGATAAAAGGTCAAATCATATAAAATATTTTAGTTTAAAAATTGATTTAACTTTTTAATTATAATCTGATTTTAACAAAAATTATATCGAATTAAAGAGTTTTTTATTATCTTTCAAATGACACCAATATGTCATATACTTCGTATAATTTTGTTTTAAAAAATATAAGTATAATATGTATACAATAAACCACAACAAACATCTTTGACTACGCATACACAAGAATATGTATCTGACACACAACTACTAATATATAACACACAAGAACAAGTATCTAGTACACAATTCGTGTAAGAAAAACTAAAACAAGTATCTTAAGCACAACATCCAATATCTAATGCACAAAGAGCAGTGTCTAACACAACAATTAAAAACTACTACACACAATAAGAATTTCACACAACTTAAACTAATATATAACACACAAGAATCAGTATCACACACGACAATTAATATTTAAAGCACATGAACCGAACATCTTACTCTTTGTTTGGATAATATATATGTTAGCACATGAATAAATTTATCAAATTAAATATTTTTTTTAATTATCTTTCATATGACATCAATATGTCATATATAATTTTGTTTTGAAAAAATAAGTATAATATGTATATAAATGACCACAACAAACAACTTCAGCTACCGCATGCACACGAATATACATCAGGCACACAACCACTAAAATCTAATGCACAAGAACCATTATCTACCACGTAATACGTATAAGTAAAATTAAAAAAAGTATCTTAAGCACAAGAGCCAATATCATACGCACAAATGCACATGAAAAAGTATTGTGCAAATAATTCGTATATGTGCAAATATATTATAATGTGATGCACAAGAATGAATATATAATGCAAATGAAATGAATATGTATGAATTGAAAGATAACAACAATTATAATGTATCAAAAGATTCCAAAATAACTGATTATATTCAATATAATAACATCAAAAAGTCAATTGCCAACCAAAACTAAATAAGTAGGTGAACTAAGCTTGAATAATGATGACCGGTCAAATACTTACCAAATTAAATAACCTACGAATGATTACTAATATAATTCCATTTAATGCTTCCACTAATAAAGCACTCAACGTATTAACCGAAAAATCAGTTACACAAACCGCCACAATATATACCCTTTATACCCTTTAGTTGATCGTATGTTAGCATATATTTTGGATGGCCAGGATGTGTTCTCACGTACTCACGTTAAACCTCGTTCTCATTTGAACCAAAATCTATAATACTAAATGTTAAATGTCCAAAGTCCAAATTAAAATTACTCCGTATATCAATACTAATACTCCTCCATACGTATAAGATAAAAATCCCTCATTCCCTAGATTTAGCAGAGCCGCACGCCAGAAGTAGAAGCAGATCGACTCTCAATCTTCCTCACACAAATCCAAAACTAGAAATTAATACCAATCTCGAATTCCCAATTCAAGAATCAGTTCCCAAGCGTTGAATACTCGATCCTTCCGCTTCCTCGGTACAAATCATATTAAAATCTCCGGTTTTTTATAGTTAACTACACACTTCTCTTAATCACTTCAATTCTCTTAATCCGTTAATCGCTTCAGGCTTCTTTGTTCTCTGCTCTCAAATTTGAAATTGTTTTGTGTGAGTATGTTTTATGATACTATGTAGTTCTGTGAGCTGAATATTTACTGTAACAATTTTATGGTTGACAATGAAATTTTGTATTACATTTTTGCAACATATAAAATTATGGGCCTGTGTTTTATCTTTTGCCCCGAGCCCATAAATTGTCAGGACCGGCCCTGGTTTTCGGTAACATTTGGGGATTAGAAACACCTGTTACCCTTTGATAAAGCTAGCTGCTTTTTGTGCATACATCATATATTCATATCTGATGAAATGCTTATTTATTTAAAGCTTATATACAAATAGGGGTGGACTTGGGAATGTCTGGTATTGGTTCATTGCCAAGATTGCATGTTCAAAAAATGGTGGGCCCGAGACCAACTCACTATTATTCGGGTTTGGGCCGATTCCGGGTACAAGGCCGGGCAGGGTGAGAAGGTGGGTGAGGAGAGGGTTAAAGATAGAATAATATTTTAATTATAAAGATAAATTGTAGGCCTAGGTCCATGGACCTTATACAGGGGAGGATCTATGTTAGGGCTATGGTGGGCTGAAGCCCAGGGCAAAGTAAAAAAAATTAATTTTTTTAAGGTATTATTTTCACAAAATTCTATCCAGCCCAGCCCAAATTTTTCTATAGCCCAATCCAATTTTTCAGCCCAACCCATAAAACAAAATCATTCCATCTAAAAATCTAATCTAAATGTTATACGAATTACCTCTCACTTAACAAGAGGCACTTTTGTACATCGTATAAGGGCCGTAAAGCCCAAAAGGAATAAATGTAATAAATACAATAAAATATGATTCCAATATGATTCACATCAACTTGTAAAGTGTTTGAGTATATTCAAGAACATTGCCCAAAAGTGAGTTCTTGGACAGAAGTTCATAGTGTATATAGACACTTTCCATGTTTTGAATTTGTGTTCAATTCACTTTTGATATAACGAGTATTCTTTGTCAAGACCTTCAAACAATTATTGGATATCTTGATAGCAATGAGACATGTTTTTACTACACAACTCATTCTCGGGGAAGTGACATAAAATGGATGTGAAAGCTTTCTTGAAGAAGCAAAGGAGTTTTGCTCAAAAAAGAAATTCTTGTACCGAAATTGAATTCTAAATTTATGGTTGGTCATTGCCGAAAAGAAACTACAGTTGAGCATTCATTATCACTTTGATGTTTTCAATGAGGCAATAGACTTTGTATTGTTGAAGTTAAGGACTCGGTTTAATGATAAATCAATGGATCAAACTCCTTTCTTTGAGTGCTTCATTGGATCCCGAAAGTTCATATGTGTCATTCAATGCCGATGCTATTTGTAATCTCTTGCAAGAAAGTTCTATCCCGAAGGTTTTAGTAATGCTTTCGAATTTGAGCGACAACACTATGCTCATGATGTGATTCATGATACAAAGTTTCGAGTATCTACACTTGTTGAATTATGTGAGCAGTTGACTAAGAGCAAAAGATCTGTTTCATATGTTATGATCAGCATATTGATTCGCTTTGTATTGATCTTATTGTTTTCACTACAACAATAGAATGATCATTTTCTGCTGTGAAACTTTTAAAGACAACACTCCGCGACAAAATGGATGATGACTTTTTTGTTAATTGCAATACACTTTATATTGAAAAAGGTGATACTCTTAGTATAGATGTAGACTCTATAATTGACGAGTTTTTTTGTTTCAAAGCTTCGTCGAGAACAAATTTAGTGGAGAACTCTTATATATATATTTTTTGCTTATTTTGAAATTTTTTAATGTATTATCAATTAAGTTTTTCAGCCCAGTCCAACATGAAATCCTGGATCCGCCCCTGACCTTATATTGCATTCAAAAAGAAGAAATATACCTCTTTTGTCGCTTAAAATTTTGTCAAGTTTGATCCGCACGGGGATTAATAAAGTAAAAATCATATTATTGAGGTTTGTGCATAAGAGAAAATTAACTGGAATCACAAATTCTTTACTTAAAAAGATAAGTGTTGAAGTTAGTGAGATATTCAAAAAAAATGTTTGTAAAGTTTTAAAGGACGGGGGAGTATAACAAGTGAGTTCAAAATGATATGAAAATGAAAATGAAAATAAATTAGCAAATATGTGGATCCTACACATAAAAATTGTGAGATAACAAGTGAGACATATCTCCATAGTATAAGAGTGTTTAATAGACCACATCCTCTCATTGAATTCCACAATTGTTCACTCAAAGAAATACTCCGTAGTATTTTGCTAATAAATATTAACAAAAAAGTTGTAGAAAGAATAAAAAACCGGTCGTTTTTTCTGTGCAAACATTAAATTAACTCACACTTCGTCGACCACAATACGCATGCACAAATCACAATCGCAATTGTGATGGCAACCACGTGTTAAAATCATGCTTCCACAGTTCCACCCCGTCATCTCTAATAATACCCGACTAACATATAAATGCAATTTAGTGACACTCAATCTAGCTAGTAACACTTGTATAAAATAAATTTCTAAAGTATTATTAGTATTACTATTATATACTCCGTATTACAGTTTGAAGCAAAATTCGTATGAACATGATCTTAACTAACAATTACAATTACTGCGATCATGTGATTATCTTATCTTACTATACACACATAAAGTGCCTCATAACCGCACTTACCCTTTTTTTAATACACACATAAATCAAGAGTTTGGCTTTTATATATTTACCGAACAAATACAGCTAGATCTCCATATTTCTTCTTTACATATATCTCGAGTATCCAACACTAAAGCTTTCAAAGTAAACGTTCAAAACATGGTCATAGACGAGACGTTATTGTCAACCGAGATAGTCAACCGCGGGGTTGACTTGTCGGGGCCCGACGCCGGAGCCCGGAAGTTCTCGGTCCGGGTTCGTCGCCGGCTACCCGATTTCGTGCAATCCGTGAATTTGAAATATGTGAAATTGGGATATTACTACATGATAAGCAATGGGATGTTGTTGGCCGCCGCCGCTCTGCCGCTTCTCGCGGTGGTTTTCGGCATGGAGATGTCGGGAAATCTCGGACGCTCTGATTTTGTTGTTGTGATTCCTCTTCTCGGTCTTCTCTCTTTGACTCTCTATGTTTTCTACATGTCCAAGTCAACACCTATTTACCTTGTTGACTTTGCATGCTGCAAACCAAATGACGATCTTAAGGTACTTAATTATGACCACATAAGTTATGAATCTTAGAGAGGGACACCAAGTTTGCATATTTAGAATTTATTATACTATGAATTAGATAGAAACGAAAGAATGGAATTAAATATATAAAAAAGTTTGATATATCAACTTAGAAATTAAATGTTGCTTAGTTGATCCAAAGACCATTGTAAAGTTGACAAATAAAATGAAAAATTTAACATGGTATTCTTTTCACAAATCGAGCCGATATCAACCCGGACGGGGAGTGGTGTACACTTTTAGTATACTAGTTATCCCAAATAGTACCATTTGATCACATGTATTTTCATAATTTTACTTTATTATTAACACTATAAATTTTTATTATATTAATCTATCTTTTTCAATTTCTGTTTATATTTTTTAATTGTTAGTAATCTCGTCTAACGAGCTACACATACAAATTTAGCTAGACTTATTGGACCTATACTTACTTGCTACATAAAAATTAGAAGTCAAAGAACATACATAATATTGAATTTAGTTTATTTATTTGTGTATTTTTGAATGTATAGTTTTAAGAACTCAGCTGCTTTCATTTTAAATTCAATATATACTAGAGTCGGACTTAAATTTGTTTTTTGTATTTTTGTTTTGATTATAATTTAAGTTATTTACTAAAATATCATCTCATTTTTTTAAAATGTTCACATATTTGGAATAGTTTCGACATGGTATGATATGGTAGTATGGTACCATCTCGTTTCAAGAAGGCTACAGTTCTAGAGAGTATCTAGTACCGTACCTAAATGATAAATGCTACCGAGTAGTTGCTAATGCATCTTATGTATGGTAGGTGACAAAGGATCAATTCATAGATATTGCTCGAAAATCAGGAACATTTAAGGAAGAAAGCCTAGAATACATGAAGAGATTACTTGAGAGCTCTGGGATCGGGGACGAAACATATGTCCCTAAGTCCATCGGATTCCCAGAAAAGGATAGGATGAGTTTGAATGTCACCCGAGCCGAGGCATCAATGGTGGTATTTGACGCAATAGATGTGTTGTTCGAGAAGACAGGGATCAAACCGAAAGACATTGGAGTATTGGTTGTGAACTGTAGCACATTTAACCCGACTCCTTCACTCTCGGCCATGATCATAAATAGATATAAGATGAGAGTGGACATTCTAAGTTCAAACCTTGGTGGGATGGGTTGCAGTGCTGGTATCATAGCGCTGGACTTGGCGCAAGACATCCTACGAGCCAATCCCAATAGGTATGCCTTGGTTGTTAGCACTGAAATAGTAAGCTCCATGTGGTACTCGGGAAACAACCCGTCCATGCTCATTCCCAATTGCTTCTTTCGAATGGGCTGCTCTACCATTCTGCTCTCCAATCGCAGACGCGACTACCACCGGTCAAAGTACCGACTTGAACACATCATTCGCACTCACCATGGCTCAAATGATCAAGCCTTTAGGTGTGTTTCTCTTCTTAGAAGCATATGTCGGCCTTAGGCTAACTAATTAATTGGAATTAACCTTTTCGGGATGCATAACTCATGCCTACTCATTTAAGTTTTGTGACTTGTGAGTTGAGCGATTGTGAGGTAAACATTAACAAAAAATCCAGCAGCACAATCACTATGTCCGTCAGTGCATGGTCTGAACCTTGAGCTAGTTAAGCACTTAAGCTCATCGATCATGACTAGAATATGTTATAAATGGAATTAATAAAAAGAATTTTAACGCATTTGCAAAACTGAGTAACAAAATATGATAAACATTCATAGCTATGTTTATAGCTTTTTGATGGAATAGTAATTAGAAATGATGATCAGAATGCATGTCATGATATTGTAGGTCCATTTACCAGGATGAAGATGACCAAAACAAAAAGGGCTTGAAAATCGACAAATCTTTGGTACAAATTGGGGGAGAGGCTCTCAAGGAAAACTTAACCACTTTAGGGCCCATGGTGCTCCCATTCACAGAGCAATTCTACTTCTTTAAAAACCTAATCCAAAGAAAACTAACTGGAGCAAAAATCAAGCCATACATACCAAACTACACCCTTGCATTTACGCACTTGTGCATTAACGCAGCAAGTAAAACATTGTTAGACGAGCTTAAGCGGAACCTGAACCTTACTGAGGAGAACATGGAGGCCTCCCGAGCAACGTTACACCGGTTCGGCAACACCTCGAGCAGTAGTATCTGGTATGAGTTGGCGTACCTGGAGGCTAAAGATAGAGTGAAGCCTGGAAACCGTGTTTTGCAGCTGCAACTGGGGTCGGGTTTCAAGTGCAATAGCATTTCTTGGGTGGCTTTAAACGGGGTTAGGAAGTCTTGCAATTGGATGCATAACCCTTGGATTGATTGCATTGACCGCTATCCTCAGCGGTCATGCCTTTAGAGGCTGTACGAGTAAATACGACTTTCTGGCAAGATTAATTACAAACTATCCCTGTGTACCTTTGAATACAACAATAGTGGTGAAGGAATAAGCTTGTCATTTAGCTTTTGTGAATTGGTCGCATTTTCAATTTTCATGTGTTGCAAAATAATAATAATCTAGAATAAACAACATTAACACTTTGGAGTTCACAAAACGCTTTCACAGATATTTAGAGAATTTAAAGTGATGGATGCGTGCATCTTCGGTTGTAGATTGTAACTAGATTATTTTTGAACACTCGCTCTTCATTCAAGCATTTAGAATACATAGTATTAGTTTGCAACCAATATTCAAATTATACCACTATGGGAAATACTTGAACGAGAATGAAAATAACTAACGAGCACAAACCGGAATACACACTCTTTATTCTTTAATACTTGCTACATAGTACTCCGTATTAGTTTGCAACCAATATTCAAATTTTACCACCATTTGGGACAGAATCTAGAAATTATCAGAATCGTTTCTCTTAGGGAATATGGAACCAAAAGGTCCAAAACACCTTGAAAACAAACAAAGTATTAAAGTTAATCTGGTAAATCAGATAGGATCGTCCATTGAGCTCACCTAGTTGGAGAGCTCTATTATGTCGATGATTTCTTTGAGATTTAAAAGAAGTTATGAAATGCAATGTAACTAATTTGCTATTGACTAACTAAGAAGAAGAGACACCCGGTGATGAGTTATTCCCAGAGCAACTCATGTCTAAATGCAATCGTGACAGTGCATCATTTCTGCATAAATCCTGCATCCATTGTTAAACAAAATCATGCGAAGTTGTACACTTTCTAAATGCTATTTCATTTAAAGCATTTGACCCAAGGTTTACCTTTCCAGAAGTCAAATGGTTAAGCAATCCATAGTGATTCTGCATTGGTGTCTCATCAAAGACCAGTGGACTCTCTGAACTTGCATTGTTCCCCATATTCTGATGGGAAATCTCAAACCCCCTCTGGAATGAAATTTCATGTATGCCAGAGAAATTAGGTGCTCCTCCTCCACCTCCTCTTGTGTTTAGAGTTACACTCTCATCAAATCTGTTCCCAGATGGAGGAAATTGATTTGATTGTAAAGATCCTTGGAAATAACCTGATGGATGGTACAAACTCAATCCATTCCTCATTGTCAACATCTGCAAACACAACACATTAACTGCATAATGTTCATTCTTTATCAAACGTCCCAAAAACATAAAAACTATAAACCAGCCTATACAGCCTCTGACTATGGTTAAGAACCTTGAGTCTTAATAATAGTCCAGTGATCTACAATAGGATACTCTGAAAAATACTTGTCATTATTTTCACAATAAAAGTGCTTTTTATTATTTCCATGATTATACTGTAGCCCGAACTTCATTGATATTAAGTTAGCAGTAAGAATGGAAAGCAGGATCAAATACCTGGACTTTCAATTGAAGCTGCTTCAAATATTCAATGGCTTCATCAAGCATAGATGCCTTATCAGTCTGTCACATCACCAAAAGAACGCGATAAAATGACTAAGAGAACCAGCTGAACAGTAAAAGCATGGAGAATGAGGTCCATAGAAATCTGAAAATGATGAGTTCTTGAACGTCCATACTTTATTAGAATTCGGTATCAAGGTCTGCAGTGCTTTTAATTTCTCATTGATTCGACTCCTCCTCCTCTGCCCACAAAATTGGCCACATAAATCTAAATTAACATCATCTTTGTTATTATCCAAAGCAAAATTTAAGAAATTTGGGTGAAACCGAACCTTTTCTGACAAATTATGAACCTCCGCTGATCTACACCTCTTTGAGGAACGTCGTTGGGCCTGATTACTTCGTGGATCTGAAGTTTCGCAGTCCTGATAAATTACTGATGCTTACTAGTAAAAAGTACCATAATTTCGAGTAAAATGTTTCGGTAATATAAGTAAACATAATAATTACCTCAAGGGAAAAATTGAAATCGTCGACCTTGTCGTCATCTGGAAACTCAACCCCCTTAGAAGAAGTGATCGCTTCACAATCCTTAATTCCAGCTGAAGAAAACACATTAACGTCATCTTCCTTGACATCGTTTCCATAAAACCTGCAAGGATTAGGTAACTGGAGGCTAGACGACGACACGACGACTGGGACAGAAGATCCCTCCCTCATCCCAGACTCCATGGCGTGAGCTCCAGTCTCCCGTCGACCAAAAAGACCGACTTTTCCATTACCAGAAGCGGATGAGCCTCCGAGAATATTGTGTACAAAGGAAGACATGTCCTCTGATTCGAGTAGGTGGTGAGGGTTTACTCCGAAAGGATCCGCCATTGTTGTTACTTGTTAGTTGGAAAATAGTCACGAAAAGAAAAAATCGAGAATTACACAGATAAGATGAGCCTAACTACCACCTTCTGTATTTTCATGTCTCACTATCCTGAGGGCAGTGGTTTTATTGGGTTATGAGATGACGATAACAAGAACTTTTAGTTCAGCAATTGCATCCTCTTCTCCCTTTTAAGTTTTAACAGTGTTTAGAACTGTAATCTCCCGCCTTAATTGTATTTTGCCTCGAATCCGGGTTTAAACTTTAAAGTTTAAATAAATAATTAAGTTAATCCTTAAAATATGAGGAACCCGTAAGTGAAATCAACTGAATCAGTTGAAATTAATTGATTGAAACGATGAGATTGACTGAGAGGTTGTTTGGCAACACTGTTTTTCGGCTTATCAACTAACTTTTTCACTAAACACGTAAATTTTACTTTCGCGCGGTCAATTGTATATTTGTATAATAAGTAGAAAATTTAAGGTTAGAGTTACTTTTCTGACTGTATTGGTTGAATTTATTTTAGCTATTTTTACATATAATTCTTTCTTTATTTTATTAATAAAATATTTTTTAAAATTATTTTTTCTTAAATCAGCAGAATCAACCAATGCAGCCACTTCAATCAGAACTTCATAAATTTCAACAGAATCAACCAAATCTGCTGATTTTCAAGCTACCAAACGGACTCTGAATCTGTTGAATATGAAAAAATTATATTTAAAATATATTTTGTTAATAAAAGAATATAAGTAACGGGATATTCATCTTAGACCATTTTTTGTTAATCTCATCTCAGGGATAAGGGTCAGTTTGGTCGTCGAAGTTGCAAAAAGGGGGTCAAATAAGTCCTTATATAGAAAATTCTGTCCGGACGTGCCATTTGAGGTGGCTCCCGGTGGAATTTTTTGATTAAATTTTTTGAGCATCTTATTAATTAAGTCTAATTTACTCATACCAAATTTCAGATAAAAATTCAATCGGGAAGACATTCAAATGAATTCTTGAAGATAATTGTGTCGTTAAAAGTGCAGTTATCTTCAAGAATTCATTTGAATGTCTCCCCGATTGAATTTTTAGTTGAAATTTGGTATGAGTAAACTAGACTTAATGAATAAGATGCTCAAAAAAATTCATCAAAAAATTCTACCGGGGGCCACCTCAAATGGAACGTCCGGACAGAATCTTCTATATAAGGACTTATTTGACCCCTTTTTTGCAACTTCGAGAACCAAACTGACCCTTTACTCTCTCATCTCATGAAGGTATATATTGTTAGGCCTGGTATTCCTAAGTGTAGTTTGATACATCTCGTCTCAATATCTAATCAATTTTTGTTAATCTCATCTTGTTGTTGTGTAATGTTTTATTATGCGATTCTGGTCTTAATTATTATGTGACATATGTTCATGCTTGATTGGGGGAATCAAGGATAATTCATCCTAAATTGGCTTTTATAAACAAATTACGAATAGATTTATTAAAATTAGGCTAAAAGTTGTCTAATTTAGCCTTATATGATAAAGTTTAGTTATAATTTATTATGTGTTGAAGATTTGAAACACTGATATGTATGATATATGGGACTAAAATAATTTCAAGGTAACGTGGCACAATCCCATATGAGTTGTTAAAGTTTTAGAATATATACTCCGTATGTGTCAATTTGTAAATAGGTCTCCATTTCAAATGATAGCTAGAATGATTGATTAAAAATGTGAGACTTGCTAGACAAATAAAAAAGAAAAAGAAGTCTACAAAATGGGAGTATTGATCATTTACTTGTTTACAGGCATGATGGATTTAGGGGGCGGGGCCGGCCGCCCCCTTGGACTTTAAAAAATTTATATAATATATATAGTATTTTCATAAAAAATTTATACTTTAATTAGATATTCATGTGTTGGCCCCCCTTACCTTTTGATTTTTAAAACTAATATTTAGCCTTACATATTGTAATGCATAATTGAAAATTTAAAAGAAGAAACATCTAAAATTATTTACATAACTTAAGCAAAGGGGTAATTTTATTGATAAAATAAAAAGCATTACAGAGTGAAAAAAAAAAAAAAAAAAAAAAAAAAAAAAAAAAAAAAAAAAAAAAACTTAAGCAAATAAACAATAGAACAACTCATTGTTTAAAACTTATGATACTTATTATATAAACATTCCTAGTTTTGTAATGTTTAATTGTATATTTTTATTAGATAGTTAGTACTTGAGTTCGCAAAATATCAAACGATATTAAATACGAGACACACTAGTTAAACAGTTTTTACATCAATGCGAATTGAATCCAAAATATAGATGTTTGTTGACATTAATATTACATGTACTATTCATCTGCGGCACTGGGGTAAATGATAATGAAAATGAAAATGAAAATGTATTATTCATCTACTTCTTACTTTTAAAAAATAATGTATTGCAAAGATAATAAACTTTAATTTATTTTAGCATAAATACAAATATAATATGCACCATATATATGAATTAGCAATATACTTCGTAATACGTCATATTATTTTAAAAATATTAAAATTCTAATCTCATACATATTATTATAATATTAAGAAAACTCCTTGTGGCAAAAATTGCAATTCAAAACCAAACCATTGTTCTGATAAGATTCATGTGGTTAAACAAGGCAGAAGTTATTAAAAAGTAATGGTCAATGTCTACCTTTTAAGCTTTTTATCTTCAAATAATTTGATAAAATGTTATATATCCCTTTTTATTTTCAAATATTTTTTCTCTAATTTGTCACTTCTTACACTTTAATGTTATCTTTCCTAGAGCATTTCAATTATAAAATCAAAGTTATCTTTCCATTGTCTTACTTAGAGTGTACTACTAATAGATTTAAAGCTTAAGAATGTCATTATGTATGTATTGATGGATTTTTTTTTAATAAAAACTAGTCGCATATATTTGCCTCAATGCATGCACTAACAAAAATATTTTCACCCCGACACTAACGGGAAAATATTCGCCCCCCTTGACTCAAAATACTGGATCCGTCCCTGCTTGTTTATGACTTTAGAGCATCTCCAATGGTATAATGTGCACGGTGCACACGTGGCATGAGAGATAGTCACATAAATATTAGTAAATAAATTCTTTCTCCTTATTTTAATGATTTTATATAGATTTAGTAAGTTTTTCTCCACAATGTCAAAGAGACCGTTTAAATATAATGTTGACATTGCAGTTGACTTTGCAGGGGAAACTTACCAAAATTGTATAAAATCATTCAAATAAGGAGAGCGATAATTTATTTGTTAATATTTATGTGGCTATCATTCATGTCACATGTGCACCGTGAACATTTTAGCATTGGAGATGCTCTTACCATGTACACCGTATCAAATAAAGGGAGTGTTTGAAGTAGCTTTTAGGAAGTACATTAGAGATTTTGCTTTAACATTTAAGACAGTATTTCAAGTTAATGTTTTGATCTAGTTTTACTACGGACTTACGGAGTATTTTAATCCGAAAAAGCTAGTCATGCATGAAAGGATCATGTGCTTATCCCGAATATATGATTGTTTAATGACATTAGTGTTATCTTCCAAAATCGTAATCACAATTTCTAAAATAAGTACTACGTATATTCAAAAAAAAATAAGTACTACGTATATTTTACCAAATGGTTAAACATCTATTTTTTAAGTAGAGTTATTACAATTTACAACTTTTGTGAGTTTAAAATAGCGATTTTTCCCAATACTATTGAAACAAAATTTAGTTATTAATCTCACTAAAGTTATTCTGAATATACCGTTATATCATAATCACTAAACTCATTTGATTTGATATATTATGAAATACCTTCGATTTGATATATTATGACTCACATAACTCATTACGAGTATAAAGTTATGATTTCTAGAAAATAAGCACTCTCTAAACGTAAAATGAGTAAAATTTGACGTGTAATATTGATTATATTCCCAAATTTAAAAAATAGTAAATAATTCACTCATTATGTGACATGACTCAGAGACAAAGCAAAGTCAACCTATATTACTGCTATGGATGTTTATTCAACAGTCGATTCTTTTTTTATTAAAAAAAACTTAATATTAAGTCGAGTGAGAGAGAAAGCATATATAGGGTTTCATCCAAAGCAGCAACCGGTGTGGAAACCCTTCGACTAAACCCGTATAAAACAAGTTTATAATATATACGACATACATATTAACTATTTATCTCTATCATCTTGTTTAAACTATCATTTATTTAAAATGTATAGTAAACATTCAACTCGAATATTTGTATAAAAACGATCCACAATTTTTATTTTGTATATAGTTGAGTTTAGACCCCTTTAAATTGTTTTTCGGGCTCCGCCATTAAATTGTCACCCAATTTAAGAGGTCACGGTTTTACCTGTCACGTTTATTTTAGTATGTAGTTATTTTCTTATAAATACGGAGTATATGATAATAAATTCATTTAAGTTTTATCACAAATGTTATTCATTCCGTGTCAAATACTCCGTACGTTTTTATCAACATGATACAATCTTTTTTGGACCCGAATGCTCGGTTCAACTATGTGTACTACTACGTATGTGTTATTGATTACTGCAAATTTAACGAAAATGATGTCATTGTCTAGTTATATTGGGAAAAAAGGTTAAAGCAATTTTATATACTTGTAGCAATTTAATCAATTTAATTAGAAAATAATTATAATCTAATTATTACACCATTCAACAGGCAAAATTAGATTTTAATGCTTGAATAGGGAATTTAGCAGAGCACAAGATTAATAAACATCTTTTTAGTTGGTTTAGCTTTAGTCTCAAACAAGATCAAATTATACCGAATTAGGCCAGAATAGACCAGACTCGTGTAAATCAGACTACAAAAATTGTAAATTACGAATAGGATGTTTTCATTTAACTGTAATTTTTTGATCAAGTATGTTTAAGTCTATGTGATTTGGTCTGAACTGAGTTGCTTGGATAGATATTTATTTTATGTTTATTTTGTAACGGGAGAAAAGGGTCAAATAAGGTCTTCTACTATTATGAAATAGTCACATAAGGTCATGTACTCAATAAAGTGTCATATAAGTACCTCCACTTGTAAAAAACAATCAAATGGGTCCTAATGACCTATTTAACACCTCTTAATCCCAGTTTTAGCGTACTTCTGATCATGTTTTTAGAA